TCTGGCCCAAGCTGTGCACGCTTGTCTGGGTTGTGCGCTCTGGTCCGGGGCTGTGCACGCTTGTCTGGGTTGGGCGCTCCGGTCCAAGCTGTGCACGCTTGTCTGGGTTGGGTGCTCTGGTCCAAGCTGTGCACGCTTGTCTGGGTTGGGCGCTCTGGTCCAAGCTGTGCACGCTTGTCTGGGTTGGGCGCTCCGGTCCAAGCTGTGCACGCTTGTCTGGGTTGGGTGCTCTGGTCCAAGCTGTGCACGCTTGTCTGGGTTGGGCGCTCTGGTCCAAGCTGTGCACGCTTGTCTGGGTTGGGCGCTCCGGTCCAAGCTGTGCACGCTTGTCTGGGTTGTGTGCTCCGGTCCAAGCTGTGCACGCTTGTCTGGGTTGTGCGCTCCGGTCCAAGCTGTGCACGCTTGTCTGGGTTGTGCGCTCCGGTCCAAGCTGTGCACATTATGGTCCGGGGCTGTGCACGCTCTGCGAGCTCCAGCCTTTTGCCGTTGCACTGTTATGCTCCGGAGTCATTTCCCCGGTATTTTACTCACATTTGTTTCCCCAGGTGATGCAGAACTGCAAGGCTCGGGGTTCCCTCTCCCACCGGGGAATGAAGATATTACAGATGAGGATTTAGCAAACAGGCCGGGCGGGAGATTGGTATCCATAGAGACGGCCAGCTTGGATGTGTACGCTAAATATGTGCTGCGCAGCATTTGTCAGCAGGTGAGTTTGGGATCAGCCGATCAGCAGGGAACATTTCTTATTACCTATTGTTGTATATATATATTAGGGCTGGTAATGATTAAAATGTTCGTGTTCGATTAATTATAACGCACATACAGATCCAAATACATTACCTATACACATACAGCACAGCAATGACCTATACACATACAGCACAGCAATGACCTATACACATACAGCACAGCAATGAGGTAATAAAATGAACTCGGATCACACTAATCCAGCACGTTATTAATCTCACGTGCCCCACTCAATATGGCCGCCGCTTGAGTGGGGCAACTCAGAATAATAACATACTGGATTAGTGTGCTCCTAGTTCATTTTATGACTTCATCGCTGTGCTGCATGTGTATAGGTCATCGCTGTGCTGTATGTGTATAGGTCATCGCTGTGCTGTATGTGTATAGGTCATCGCTGTGCTGTATGTGTATAGGCCGATGCCTTGGCAGGCGCTCGTGCAGAAAGTTTCTTGGGCAAACTCACCGGCCCAAGTGGCTCCGTCCGCTTACGAAGGGGGGAAAGAGTCAGGTGACGTCACGGGCATCGACGTCACCAGACCCCTCCCCCCTTCCCTTCGTTAGCCGCCACAGACATCGACGTCACCAAGACATCGACGTCACCGGACTCCTCCCCCCCTTCCCTTCGTTAGCCGTCACAGACATCGACGTCACCGGACTCCTCCCCCCCTTCCCTTCGTTAGCCGTCACAGACATCGACGTCACCGGACTCCTCCCCCCCTTCCCTTCGTTAGCCGTCACAGACATCGACGTCACCGGACTCCTCCCCCCCTTCCCTTCGTTAGCCGTCACAGACATCGACGTCACCGGACTCCTCCCCCCCTTCCCTTCGTTAGCCGTCACAGACATCGACGTCACCGGACTCCTCCCCCCTTCCCTGCGTTAGTCCGGTGACGTCACCGGATCTCTGACGGGACTCCCGGAAGCCGGCGGGGAGGTGAGTGTTTTCATTAGCGATCAAAATAATTTTAATCGATCAAAAAGTTTAACGATTAATCGAGAAATTCATCTTTAGTTTCCACAGCCCTAATATATATTTATTATTATTACACAGCTGCCTGGGTGACTTTCATGTGTAATAATTCATCTTTTTGTATAAAACACTGACATTCACCCGCCTGGCATCCTCTGCCCTCCTCCGATTCATTCTCATGCACTCCTACACCTCCTACGTTGTCTTCTGTTCCTTGTGGAAGTGATTTGGTTTGTGTGATGAATGCGTGTTCTGATCCGTAAGCCCGGAACACAACGCCAAGCGTGTAGATGTGGCCGCTTCTCCGTTCCCTCCTCCTCCTCGTAGTGTTAGAAAGCAGTCATCCTTGTCCTCGTGTTCCCTTGTTCACAGGAGTGGGTGGGCGAGCGCTGCGTCCGCTCGCTGTGCGAGGACTCCATTGATCTCCAGGATCCGGTTCTCAGCAGCGCTCAGGCCCAGCGTCTGATGCAGTTGATCTGTTACCCTCACAGACTGAGCGATGCCGAGCAGGGAGACAACCCGCAGAGACAACGCATTAAACACATTTTGCAGGTCAGTGTTCCCGGACTGGAGTTCTCTTCACTCTCTGACCTTCCTTCTTATGACATGTTGCTCGGCATGGGGGCACTGGACAAAAGGTCCGCTGGTGTCCCCAGGATTTCCGAGGAAACGCTTGATGTGAAGATCTCGGTCAGGAGGGTCATGTTGTCGTTTGCCTTGCAGAGCCTGGATCAGTGGACGATGAGACAGTCTGCTTTGGAACTTCAGCTAATGATCAAACAGACAACCAGCAATGTAAGTACCTGTGACCCCACTGACACCATGATGGGACACTATTCCCCCCACTGAC